TTCTGTGGTCACCTAAACCCAAGAAAAAAATGCAGTGAGAAGAAACTTAGCTGTTACGGGTACTTGTTAAGTAACAGGGCAGTCCTTGGGCAACAGAAATGTATTCATTAATATTTACTTCCTTGTTCCTTTTGAAAAAAAATTTGAGGAAGCTTATTAAAAACAGATTATTGAAGGGTCCCCAGCCTGAATATCAATTGTGTTCAACATCAGAATAAACGTTTCCAGATAAGGGCACCTGGGTGGCACAGTGGGTTGAGGGGTCCGACTTGGTTTTGGCTCAGGTCCTGATCTCATGGGTCGTGAGATCGAGCCCCACATCGGGCTCCATGCTCAGTGGGGAGGAGTCTGCTTGAAGATCCTCTCCCTCCGCCCGTCCCCCTGCTCTCTCTCTAAAATAAATACATATATTTTTTTAAAGATTTTATTTCTTTGACAGAGAGAGACACAGCGAGAGAGGGAGCACAAGCAGGGGGAGTGGGAGAGGGAGAAGCAGGCTTCCCGCCGAGCAGGGAGCCCGATGCGGGGCTCGATCCCAGGACCCTGGGATCATGACCTGAGCCGAAGGCAGACACTTAGCGACTGAGCCACCCAGGCGCCCCATAAATAAATAAATCTTAAAAAAAAAAAATGTGTCCAGATGGCAGGAGAGATCAATTTACATGTGGGATTGGGGAGTGTCCTTAGAAATTTCTGAGTTTGTTCTGAGAGGAGAGATTTGCAAAAGGCAGGCGGTTTAGTTCAGGAAAGCAGAGTTTGCAACACTGTTTTATCAAGGCGGTGCTCCATCCAAGTTTTAAGTTGAGGTTGTGAGAAGGCAAAGAGCAAGCGAATGAGCTCCCTGTCCAGGAGCTGTGGGACAGGGTGGCAGTGGTGGCACCTTCCGGGTACTCATCGCGGGACGTCGCAATGTCTGGCCCGGGCATCGGCCCGCTCTGCTGTGAGTAGCCTGTGAAAGCATCAGTTGTAGTGACTTTGTACATGAAAGTTTATCAAGTCTAAGCACGACAACAACAAAACCAAAGACTTCTGGCCCCAGTGTTTATTATATAAAATTGTTCACAGCAATAGGGTTTAAGACAAAAACACAAATACAAGTTGACTTCATAGAAACACTGAACACATTGGTTATGTCCTTCCGCAACTCAACCAACATACAAACACAGTCAGAACCACCCATTTGGTTCAAATTGTGGATGTCACACATTCGATAATTATTTTCCACGCCACCTCCATGAGCGAGGCCCTGCACTGCTGTAGATGCTGGGGATACAGCCATGAATAAAAGAAGGTCCTTGTGCTCAGAGAGCTTCCAGTCTCGTGGGGGCAGACATATGCCAGACAAAAAACAAATACATAACATGTCAAGTAGTCACAGGAAGGAGTGGAAGGAAGGAAGGTTTCTGTACACAGAATTCTTAAGAGCAATCTGGGGCTGCCTTTTAAAGGTCGCAGGTCGGGGGAAAAGATACAAACCCTAAATTATATTTAAAAAATAACTTTATAGGTTGTAAATTCCTGGTCAGATTCTAAAGTTCATAGCTCTGAGCAGTGTTTCTAATTTTCGAATTAGAATCTATACTAGTAAGTAAGTACTTTATGGCTCTCCTAATGGAATGACCCACATCATACGTGAGGGCAAGGGTAGATATAAACACACATGTGTTTACACACCCGTGTCATTATTTACATGTATATTCACCTATACTAGAGATTTCTGGCTGTAATGATACAAATGTAATTGATTATGTTCAGCCTCGCCAAGAACTATCAACACTGTATTCCTGAGGCAGTCTCCTGGTGTTCCCAAGTACAGGATGTTTCCAAGTAAACTATTCTTCAGAAAGAACACCTATCATACCTTACAAGGAAGCACTTCCTGATTATGCTACACGTAGACCATCATGAAGAATGGAAAGGAACTGCATTTTCATGTCTAGAAGACAAGGCAAAAATGAGGGGTTTTTGTTCACTGCTGTTGAGACGCTTGTTCACTGAAAATCACAGAGGGTCTTCAAACCTTATGACATCAAACTTCCACATGCTAAGGACCTAACCATTCTACTGGTGTCTTCTGAATGTAAGGTGTAAGTTTCCCCTCCTCCACGCCCCACAGAGGTACATCCCGTGTAAAGCGACTTTCTCCCTGGGCCTGGGTGCTGGATAGGACCACTGCGTCAGCGTGGGTCGAGAGCCAGGGCTGGTGCAGGGGTCCTAAACACAGTCCCAACCTCCTCTGTAAAGAAGCAAATTTCCAGAGATGGGACCTCTACAATTAGAGGGCCGACCCAGAAGATCTGCCTGAAACTAGATGTCTCCGGTCAGAAAGATCAAAAGGGGAGTGTGTTTGGGTCACTTTAGGGATTCTCCAGCAGAGACTTGCGTCTCCCAGGGGCCTCCCCGATCCCTGCTACCCTCTGCTGGAAGCCGGGGCTGCGGGTCCAGGAAAGTGCATGGTGTGCTCCGTGGAGCTGTGGTTATGCCGAGGCGGAGCTGCCTCAGAGCGGCTGCCTTCCACCTTTTCTTCCCCACAGATGAACCTGGGGCGTCAGCAGGGACGATGACAGCAAATAATACTGGCCTTAGGTTATGTACATCCCAGTGCACTGTGTTGCTGCATCTCCCTTCCCTTGGGAGGCCACCAAAATTCCTAGACTTTCCTTCCTACGAAGGGTCTCCATGACTAATTTAGGAATGCACTCCAGGTGGCCTTTGAAAAACATGATGTAATTCTTAAAATGAGGTTTTCCCCCCAGTTACACTTTCTTCCTTACGTTGATAGTAAACGTTCACTTTCTTGAGTGTGTGTAAGCGGAGGAGAAGGGACACCTGCATATCCCACATGGGACAGAGAAGCTGGCCTGGTTCAAAACATGACATGGATAAGTTACATGCCAGTTATATCTCAATAAAACTAAGAAAGGAAAAAAACCAACAAAAACCAAGACAGAGATGAACAACCCCACAGCATGTTACTAATTAAAAGCTGATTAGACGCGTTACTCTTATTTTTCACGAAAGTCACCTGCTTTCCTCCTACTGAATGATTCTACTTCTTACTCTGTCTGTTCTATCAGGAGCATTTTCTGGTCCCAAGGCTTCCTGCATACGCTGTGACTAACCTCTACATACTCCCTTATCTTAAAATATCATAATAACTTCTCTGATTAGACAGTTGTCCCTTTCTCTATCACTTCACTGATTGCAAATTCGAATCAGAAGCTACTGTTCTACTAGGTTGGGAATTAGGTTGTGAGTCAGGAAGTATTAATGTATAGGAAAAGATGGCCTGGTTTGGATCCTAAACCACAGCAGGGAGAGGTGACTGTGATGTAGGAGCCAAGGTTTTGGGGGCACATGGACAGGGTTCCCATGAAAATTCTAAGGATCACATTTCTGGCACCTGCAGACGTTTTCTAGGGTAAGCTATTTTATAGAAAACCAGTGGTAATGGTATCGGGCTTTTCTCGAGAAATTTCCCAAGGGCCTACTTTGGTGTCCAAAGTATCTAAATACCTCCTGAAAAATGCTGAACTGTAACACTGAGAATGGAGGACGAGTCGGCGACACGGATAGCCACAGGCTCTCGGTGACGGTGTCACCCGACAGGAACACAGTGACTCTGTGCTTACCACAAAACCGTTAGCACAGCCATACTTGAGATGTCATCAGAGACACAGAGAACATTTTCTGGATTTCACTCATTTCATCAGGCAGGTCCAGGGATTGGTCTTTCAAGGGTCTGTGCGTGGAAAAGAATAGAGAGAACTTCTGTCCCACGGAGAAGTACTTGCCTGCATTTTCGGACCGGTGACCCAAAGACGTTTTCCTTGATCCTCTGCATAGTTACGGGGCGAAGTGAGAACCCAGGCTTCGAGCGCAGCTCCCACAGGACTCCCAAGTATTCTAGAGCTTGCTTCTGGTCACTCGGTTTCCTGGTTCAGGGATTCTTCGCTGAATTTGCTTCCACTGCTTTCATCTTCATTAGAATAGTTTCCCGAATCTTGACTGGTTTGGGAATTATATTTTTTGTGCTCTCCATCGGTTTGGTTAGTTTCTTCTACTGCCGTGATAGTGTTTGTGTTTTCAATTATAAAACATCTTTCTGTTTGTTCCTCGGAAGTGAAAAGGAGGAGATTCCGGAGCGGTTGCTCAGAGAAATACTAATTTAAAAAAAAGGGGGAAGAATAGGAACAGATTGTTTAAAATAATGAGAGTTTTTGGTTCCAACGGCTTCAGTGTCTTACATCCACTACGGAGAAAACCAGTGGTAATGGTTTATATTAATAAACATATTAAAAACTAGCTAGGAGCCTATCGACTGCCATCTAACATTTAGAATAAGCCCCTCACTAGTGAGGTCCCGTGCCTCTTGGCACTGTCTTGGGGCAGGCACATGAAGAGGACCCAGGATGGGGCACAGGGGGCTGGTGAGCATGCGAGAGTGAAGGAAAGGGGTGTGCGCTGGGACTGTGGAGAGTTTCTTTTTAAACTTTATAGCACAATGGCATTTGCTCAAGTTCTCTCTCTTTTTTAAAGAAGATTTTTTTTAAAGATTTTATTTATTTATTTATTTGACAGAGAGAGACACAGAGAGAGAGGGAACACAAGCAGGGGGAGTGGGAGAGGGAGAAGCAGGCTCCCCGCTGAGCAGGGAGCCCGATGCGTGGCTCAATCCCAGGAACCCGGGATCATGACCTGAGCTGAAGGCAGATGCTTAACAATTAAGCCACCCAGGCGGCCCTGCTCAAGTTCTCTTAAGTGACCTGCTTAACTTCACAGAGTTAACATATGCAAACATACTGTAGCAGATCAACAATTCATGTTCGGGTGTCGCTATAGCTTTTCCAAAGCCGGAGCTCCAAGCGATATTCCCAAGGCAGGCAACCTGAACCCCTGCCCTAGGTGGACACACCATCCCCAGGCTAGGTCCTGGGCTTAGGTCTTTGTCATTTAGTGCTTTCAGTAAATATGCCAACCTCACGGGGGGGGGGGGTGCCAAACAGGAGCCTGTGAGGTGTCCCGAAAGGAGACTCATATTTCATTTTCTGTGATGTCATCCACAGAATGCACTGATGAGGATGCTGTAGGCTTTGGGTGAATACCCAGCTTTTCAATGATAAAACAAATGCCAAGGTAGCCAAACTGAAGAAAAATATGAGATTAAGGACAAACCTTAACTATTCCACGTTATATGATATTAAATGACTGTTTCTAAAGCCAATTTGCTGAAAGTGAAGAAAATATCCCAGTGTGTATATTTTCTGGATATCAAGAAAATGCATATATTCTGTGGACATCAAATATAGTTCCCATTCGTTTTAAGAAAAATCCACCCATTGACAAAGAAAAGTCACATACCTCATCTATAGTGGAAGGAGGTTTACTTGATGGAAAGAACACATAACTGATACATCTAAAGAGAAGTTTCATGACATAGATGACAACCGGGATGGAAAACAATGCAGCACAAACTCCAGCTATGAGCCAGGTTTTGGAAGTATTTCCTAAAAATAAGTAAGTGATGTTAAGCTTCAACATAGATCTTGACACCCAAATATGTTCACAATGCTGACAGTTTAGGTGGATGGAATATAGCTTTGTGAAAGGAAATATAAAAATCTATGAAATGATGTACCCTTAGAAATATTTCTGGTAACATGGGGCATACAAGAGCTGTAGGCAATGCATTCCCTTTATCTCTCTATTTATAAGTAGGCTCCATGCCCAATGTGGGGCTGGAACTCATGACTCCGAGATCAAGAGTCACACGCTTTGCTGACTGAGCCAGCTAGGCATGCCTCCCACCCCCTCTTTTTAGGCAATGCATTTCCATTTAAAGAGTGGCCCAGCAAGGTGAATGATGCAATGTTGACATTTAGCTCCCCAACAGTGCAAAGTGTTCTCTAGCACTTCCTGATACAGAGCTTGCATAATTAAAACCATTCCGTGACCAATCAGCATCTGCAAGTCAACACTGCAAACTGTAAAATACACAATGGGACTTAACCATTCCCACGGAACAAAATTCACAATTGAACTAATGAAGTGATCCCCACATGATAATTATATTAAGAATTATGTAAAGAAAAAACCCAAAACCCACCTAAAATAGTCTTATTAAATGTTAAAAGAGTAATTATTAAAGGCAATTTAATTATGTGCGTATTGAATGAAATATAAAGCATTCAAAAACACTGAACTGCGCAGTAAAAATATTTTCTAAAACCGAAGGACTTAGCCTGAAGGTCTACTTTTGATTCATGTAGCTCATGAAGAAAGTATTCTCCTTATGCTCTTGTAGTAAGAAGGAAATATTTTACAAGTTCCAGTGAATTTGAATTATTTTTTGAAAGTTCAGTTACATTAAAAAAAAAAGAGAGAGAGAGATATAATGGAAGATTCTGACCTGGTTTTGTTTTCTCGCACACAATATCACTAAAAACACTGCTTTTATTCCACTTTCCTTCCTGAATGAGCGCTCTGGCTTTGACACAATATACAGTCAGTGGTTTCAATTTAGGAAAAGTAAAATCTGTTCTATTCTCTCGAATTTTTCTCTGTAAGAAAATAAGTAGATCATTGATAAAATTTAGTGACCTTATGAAATCAGATAGGGAATGTTGATTTCCTAAATTCTCTAAATATTCAGTCTAAGACTGGCCTCTCCCAACCACTTAGTTGGTGTTTGTTTAAGAAATACACATTTGTTTTGGACAACACATTACGACCCAAGTCAAACTTAAAAATGCTGCTTCCAAAAAGGAATTATGACATATTCCTAAGACAACTCTAATTTATAAGTACCTGTTGATTTGGTTTAACTGCCGTTGTTATTTCCTCTGCTCGGTGGCAGAATATTTAGGAGTGGGGGCTCTGGCCTTAAATTGCCTGTATTAGGGCATCGCTTATAGCTATGTGGCCTTAGGCAAGTTGTTTCTTTTCTCTCGGCCCTATTTCCAGATCCGTAAAATGAGGACAATTACCACTCCTCCCTGCAGTAGTCAGCTATTGCCACAATAGTATCGTATAACAGATCACAAAATAATGACAACAAAATAACGTCATGCAATGTCACATAATATAACAAAACATCCTGTGGCTCAAAACCCATTTATTTTTCTCACTCACGCGTGTCCTGACTGGCTGTGGAGCCCGTACTGAGGCCATGGGTCCTCCCCAGGTCCCTCATCCTCCTTGGACCAGAAACCAAGTGCAGCATGCTTTCCTCTTGGCAAACGAGAGAAGCCCAAGAGCCAAGCCAAACCGTCCTCACACCACAACCACCCACATTCTACTGTTTGAAGCCCGGCATCAGGGAAGCGATAAGAGATACTCCATTCCAAGTGTCTGCCGAGCTACTTAATCAGGCGGTCAGTCTGGCAGGACTGTTTTCAAGAATGACTGAGACAATTCATGTAAATTACCACAGCACCTGATGCCTAATAAGCTTTCAATAAATCCGAGTTGCTATTATGATTGTAATCACTGACAGGATAGGATGGCAAATGATATTAATCTCTACTATGTGTCAAGCGATGTGCTAAGTGTTTTCATATGTTACCACATTTTAAGATTTAAAAAAAAAATTTTTTTTTAAAGAGATTGCTTCTTTTTTTTTAATATTTTATTTATTTATTTGAGAGTGAGAGAGAGAGAGAGAGAGCATGAGAGGAGAGGGTCAGAGGGAGAAGCAGACTCCCCGCCGAGCAGGGAGCCCGATGCGGGACTCGATCCTGGGACCCCAGGATCATGACCCGAGCCGAAGGCAGTCGCTTAACCAACTGAGCCACCCAGGCGCCCTAAAAAAATTTTTAAATAATCTCTACATGCAATGTGGTGGGGCCCGAACCCACAGCCCTGAGATCAAGAGCTGCACGTTCTACCGACTGAGGCAGCCAGGGGCTCCTCTTATGTTACCTCATTTTTAAAAAAAATGGAGTTACTATGACCACCACCACTTTAGAGAAGAGGAAAAAAAACCTCAGAGAGGTAAAGCACCCTGGCTAAGGTTACACAATTTGATGGTTTGAGACACAAATACAGGTTTTTCCTGATGTAAGAACAACCGAGAACTGACTGTAAATTCTCAGTGGGCTGAATTATGCTTTCGTTACAGGGTGTTCAGATAGTTAAAAGGAAAGTAGCCAAGTCATTATAATTTTCTTAGATTTCCAACAGAAAATAAAGTCAAGTTACAGAATTTATCCACCCAACTACACAAGATTTTTCAAGGTTGATTCCTTGATTGTAATTCCACAGGGAAAAGAGATCTAGAATCCTGTGCATTATCCGATGTTGTGTACTGCCTTTGTCCGTGGTTTCCTAATTTTAGTGTTTAAACCTGTGTTTCTTGACTCTTTTTCATGACTCCCCCTGCCAAGGAGACTTTTCAGAGGACTGTTTTCAAATCCTTCCTCTGCCATGAAATTGAACAGTAAGGAACAGGGTTTTGTGTGGCAAAGCTTAACTCTGGAGGCGTGCTTTCCTCTCGGAGTGCCACAAACCACTGGACCAGCTGAGATTTTGCCCCCTTGGAGGTACCCTGCCCCCAGGGCATAGCTGGCACAGTCTGGAGGTTTTTTGGTCGTCACTACTGGGAGGCAGTGCCACTGGCCACCAGCAGGCAGAGGCCAGAGAGGCTGCTAAGCATCCTACAATGCACAAGACAGCTCCCACAGCGGGGAATTATCCAGTCTGAATGTCCCCAGTGTCGAGACACCCTGGTTTAGATAAATACCCAGGAATCATGTTAAAAGCACAAATTCCCGAGTTCCATCCAAGAGATTCTGATTTGAGTAGTAAGAGGCACAGGGATCCGAATGTTAACAACACACCGGGATGCCCAGATGCAGGTGATCCGTAACTACGCCGTCAAACAGGGAGAGATGCTAATATTCTTCATGTTGTCATCACAGTCTTAATGCCTAAAAATTTCCCTAAAATTTTAACTTCAAACTTTGTTTCCCCAAAATCCTAGTTACAACCCTACATTATAGATTAACAACACATAGTTGTTGTTTTTGTTTTTACCTCAGCATTTGAAGTATTTTCCCAAAATATAATTTCATAAATTAGTGGGTAATGATGGTTCACAGGCTTGTTTTCAGACTCTTCGGGAGCGCTGATATAGACCCGCAGGGAAACATCGTTAGTGGATTTCATGGTAATGACTGGAGGAAACGGGGTAACTAGGAAAAAAATGTACAGGCACAATGTTCAACTTGGAAAAACAATATTAAGACTCGTGCCAAATCGGAGAAGCGCAACCTGAAGAAAAAACTACTGGCTTACTTTGTAATTGAGTATCAAATTTTTCTTCGTTAGACCAAACAGATGTGGTATTTCCATCCGATGCTCGAACACGGATAAGGTAAATTCCTTTTCGGAAAGTACTTTTGGGAAAGACACACTGTGGAGTTTGGACATTTTCACAGTTTGGTATTTGTTTCCATTTACCTGAATTGTCCCCAGGAATCTTTTTTAAATAGGCACTTTTAAGACAAAAAAAAAATATTACAAACATAGTAATTCAATAAATATTTATGAAATACTTAGAATATGCTAGACACAGTTAGGGGTTAAGGTTACAGAGGGAAACAAGTCCCCACCCTCAGGAAGCTTGCAATACAGTGCAAGAGACACACATAAAACACAAAGAGAACCAGAGCCCTTGCTCCGGGGTATGACAAAGTGTTACTGTACCAGAGCTGACCAGAGCCAGCACACAAGAACCACCACTGAATTTTCTGGAATGCTGCGAGCCAGTTATTAAAAGCCATTACTATAGATTAAATTACATAAACTTACAAATAAATAGACAGCATTAAAAGTAAAAATATGCAAAACTCTTTTTTTTTTTTTTTAATTTATAGCTGGCAGGTCAGAAGCACAGGTGACAAGGTGGATCAAAACTCATTTTGTCCTAATTATTTTATTACATTTTATTATCTATCCTCAAAGCTATCTATGTCTATTGTATCTCTGTGGTGGAAATACTCTGTAAAGGGGTCCTCCTGTGCATTTCTCCCTAGTGCCATGTTCAGTGACATCATGTTGAAAGGGACCATGGTAGGCATATTTATATCATGAAAACTGGCAAAGCGCTACGAATAAGGCTTTTTTTTTCCTTCTGGAAAGCCAGCTGTGAAACATATGACCCCCACACCGATGGGCAAGTGTTAAAATGCAGATAATACGCCACAGTGTGGTAAGAGCAAGTCTACACAGAACACGGACACTTGACTGAGCCCGGAGAGGTCAAGTAAATTACTCAGTAACCAACAGCTCAAAGCAACTCAGTTCAAGCCTGGAACTACAACAGCCTCCCGAACTGGTTCTCCCGTCTCTGGTGTCTCTGTGGCCCACATACAGCGTGGCAATCTTCACCCCCCTTGAATACAGACCTCATGTTACCCACCCCTCAGCGCAAAATTCTAAATGGCACCCAAACGCCTGATCTTCACCTAGCCTATGTATTCGATTTTCTCTCTCATTGCTCTCCTGTGCCCAAACGTTCAACTGTTCTCAAGGTAGGGCTTCTCCCATGTGGTAGGCAAAATTCCAAGAAGGCCCCCCAGAGTCCTTGTGACACCATGAGCCGAGGGACCAGCTAATAAGCCAAGCCTGGTCCCCTGACCAGAAGTCACTGGGAGGTAACAGCACTCTTCAAGCTGTTATTAAATATGTGGTAATTTGTTATAGAGCAATAACACCCCCACCCCCAACCTTCACCTAGTTTTCAATCTCTTTGTAGCCTGAGCTTCCCTTGTGCTGTAGCTCTGCCTAACATGCCCTCTCATGTCCAATTTTAAAATATATGATTCACCAATGAAGGCCTTGTTCACATCTCATCTCCCTCCCCATGGCTTCTTCGGTCTCTCCAGCCCCATCCACCTTTACATTTTCGATTTGTAGAGCACTCCTCAGCCCCAAACCACAGCTCGCAATGCCACCTCAGCTACCTGCTTTGGAGTCTAGGAACCACGTGTTGTATTGCTGTACCTTTCCCATCCCTTCAGTGCTTTGTCCAGTGTGCTGAGTACCCACAAAACTTCGAGAACCACCACCGGAAAAACCCCCATTCCTCTCTAGTCTGTGGCGTTAGTACTTAGCACACTTCTGAGAGTGAAGTTCCGGGTCAGTCAGAGTCTACGGGCATGCAGGCACGGGAATGCGTTTCCACTGCGCGACTAACACGGAAGGAAGGAGACAGTTCACCAGCGCAGTGCCCATTCCCTTCACCCTCCGTTCACTTCCTGCTTCTCTCCCTCCTCTCACTGTTCCTTTCCTGCCCTTGCCTCTGGTCCCTCTATTCCTCAGTATAGCTTTCTTACCCACCTCCTTCCTCCCCACAACCCGCTCCTCCTTCCACTGGATTCGCCTCTTTATCACCTACACCTTTCCAGCCAACATGAACTATAGGCAGTTCTCAACCACTTCTGCGGGGCTGAGACATTATCCACAGTTCCGGCCAGCTTTCTTCATTTCCCACTGAAGTGATCACTAAAAAATCTGTCAAAACCACTACCATTGTCAAGAAAATGGGAAGGCTAACTTGAAATGAGTAAGAGAGACTGGACTGAGACCATTCCGAGGACTCATGGAAAAAGTGAGTTCTGAAGAAAAGGTCAGGGTCGTGTGTCAAGTAGTCCAGATTGAGGAAATAAGACATGCAATGAGAAGCGCACTTGAAAAGAAAAAAAGAAAAAGAGCCAGTAAGTTCATGAGATATTATTAAATATGCCCCATGACGACAGATGAAGAAACCAAGGCCAAAAGAGATTAAGGGATTAGCTCAGTGTCATCCAGTTAGTTAACAGCAGAGCAGGGACCAGAATTAAATATCCCATTTCCAATATGGGATAATCACCTCAAGCAGTCAGCCTCTGTGCCTGGAGCTGTAGGGGGCTGAAGTGGAGTGAAAGGAACCATAATAAACTGGGCAAAAGGAAACTCATGGAATAGAACTTACTGGAGCCACTGAGCTTGAAAAGTCACATTTTCATATGTATAATCCCATTTAAGAACATAGATGTGATTTTTAGCATCAACTTGAATATTTTCCGGTGGAGGCAGTTTATTTTCAACTAGGAGACAAAGAATACACAGAAAAGCATACGTTGCTACTTTAGTGAGATAAGACATGGTAAGAATTCTTTTTTTAAAAATTTTATTTATTTATTTTTAAAGATTACTTATTTATCACTTGAGAGAGAGCAAGAGAGAGTGAGCACGAGTTGGGTGGAGGGGCAGAGGGAGAAGGAGAAGCAGACTTCCCCCTGAGCAGGGAGTCCGATGTGGGGCTCGATCCCAGGACCCCCAGGGATCATGACCTGGGCCAAAGGCAGACGCTTACCTGACTGAGCCACCCAGGCGCCCCTGCCCTCTTTTTCCCTAAAGATTTATTTATTTGAGAGAGAGAGAGACAGGGTTAAGAGTTCTTTTTTCTTTTTTTAAGATTTTATTTATTTATTTGACAGAGAGACAGACAGCGAGAGAGGGAACACAAGCAGGGGGAGTGGGAGAGGGAGAACCAGGCTTCCCGCGGAGCAGGGAGCCCGATGCGGGGCTCGATCCCAGGACCCTGGGATCATGACCTGAGCCGAAGGCAGACGCCTAACGACTGAGCCACCCAGGCGCCCCCATGGTTAAGAATTCTTCTTAACAGCATGGGCAAGAAAAGAAAAAGGCTTACATGTTATCAGGGGGTAATAGCTAAGTGAGTTACGAATGGTGTATGTTCACACAATGTGATAGTATGCAGCCATTTAAAAGAACGTGATGGGGCACCCAGGTGGCTCAGTCTGTTAAGCGTCTGACTTTGGCTCAGGGTCCTGGGATCAAGCCCCACATCGGGCTCCCACTCAGCGGGGAGTCTGCTTCTCCCTCTCCCCCTGCCACCCCCCGACCTGCTCGTGTTCTCGCTCTCTCAAACAAATAAAATCTTAAAAAAAAAAAAAAAAAAAAGAACGTGATAGATCTGTATGTGCCAACATACAAAGAGATCCTCAATGAAGTAGGTTAAACAAGCACGTTGTAAGATCGATCTGGCAGTATCCTATTTTTTAAATTCAAATACCAAAACTAAGAAACTATATACACGTCTGTGTGTATGCTTATAATAAGCCCTGACAGAAGCAGGAAATATGCACAAACTACCGGCAGGGCTAACTGCTGGTAAATGGGACTGGGGATAAGCAGGCAGGAGAGAAAAACTTTACTTTAAATTCTCCTGTAAGTTTGATTTTAAAAACAAAGCATATTAAACTTATGATTAAAATAACAAACAAATCTAAGCTCCTAACCTCTGACCTTAATTGTTGGTGAGAGGCCACTGACAAAATTTATCAGGATGCTTCCACATTTTAACACTTGACACTTTTTATAAAGGTATACATTTTGGAAGACTAACGGTTCCTCTAGCAACTGCTTTCCCCCTTTTGTGGATTCTGAGCAAATAAAAGTAGCTTTTGTCATTAGAAAATATTTAGACTTTTAGACAGAACTTTCATCACTGCTTACTTGAGACAAAAATCCCAATTCCTGTGACTTTTTTTTTTTTTTTTGCTGATGTAAATGCTATTATATTTTTGTTTTAATGTCTATTAAGATATCATATAAACTTCAGCAACCAAGAGGAAAACTGCCAGAATTAATAGATTGCCCATCTGTATATAAAGTTACTAAATCTAAAGCATAACTTTCTCCTTACCTGTGGTCTTTATACAATACACAGGACTATAGACACCAGTTTTTCTCGGCAAAAGTCTTGCTTTAACTTTTAAGCAATAAGTGGTCTCTGGTGAGAGTTTATAAATTTTATCTCTGGGGTAAACAGTTTTAGTCCTTCTCTATAATAAAAGAAAAACAGAAGTCTGCTCTTTAAAAAAGTATAAGGTTAAACTTTAGGACAAATTCATGTCCTTTCTCTCTCACTTTGAACAAAGGTAAGAATACTTACTTCTCCACTTGAAGAGTTTTTCCAGATATCCAAGCTGTAGGTGAAGCTTGAGCTATCCAGAGCCCACATGCCATGATCTTTTGTTCCAGGTGGCGAGATGTTTATTATTATTGCCTTATCTTCAGCTTCTAAATGTACTTTTGGGGGACCAATTTGAGCTGTAAAAAATGAACACATTTACTATAGAACTTCATTAATACAGGGTCGAAACATTCATTCAGCAAATAATTCTGAGCACTTCCTATATGCCTGGCATAGTAACACAGGGAAAGTCCTTCACGGCGCTTATACTTTAGCGGGGGATATGGCCATAAACCCCAAATAGACAAATACATATAATGTCATGTGTGCTGTGAGGAAAAATGAAATAACACAGAGGGAGAGAGGATGGTGGCAAGACCTGTTTCAAATAAGTCAGTCAGGAAAAGCCTCCCTGCGACATTTGAGCTGAGGCCTGAATAATGTGAGGGAGTCAGTCAGGCAAATTATCTAGGGAAAGAGTATTCCAGCAATGTGGGAATGCACCTCACATTTTCAAGAGACAAAAAGGAGGCTCCGGTAGCTCTGAGAAGCAGCTAGAAGCCAGATAACAAAGGAAGAGCTCTGTAGTTAGCTTTGGGACTTTGCTGGAAGGCTGAGATCCGAGGAGTGCCATGCTGTGATTTACGTTTTGGAAAGATCACCTTAGTTCAGGCACAAGGAAGCAGGCAGGCCGGGAAGAAGCTACTGCAGTAGCTCAAGAGACCAGCCTTGTTGGTCGCAGGGATGGACGCGACAAGGGATCCGCTTTGGGATGTACCCTGAAGATGGACCATGCAGAAAGTATTGACAGACTGGATGCAGGGCATGAGGAAAACCGATGCCAAAGAGGACTCCAAGGCTCTGGGCTTGAGCAAATAAAACAGGTGCTGTCTGTAGCAGGGATGGAAAAAACTGCAAGAGGAGTCGGTTTTGAGGGGGAAATCAAGAGCTTCGGTTGACCAGATGACTTAGACACACACGCAGAGATGCCTGTTGAAAGAGAGTTGGTGATACAGTATAAAGTAAGGGGAAGGAGTGGGGCTGGAGATGTATGTCTGGGCTTTTCTCAAGAGCACACAGACAGGATTGAAAGCCGTAAGATTCCCAGCGGACTGAGCGTAGAAAAAGAAGAGGTGCGACAGCCCAGCCCCGCAGCAGTCCGGCACTGACGGGTCTGGAGGGCCAGGAGAAAGGGGCGCAGGAGGAGAGCTGGTGGGGAGCGGGGTCCTGGAGATCCAAAGTGGAAGGGTTTCAAGTGGTAACCCTGGTGCTACCCAGGAACTGAGCCAGAGCAGAGCTGGGAACTCGCTGGGTATTGAGGTCACCAGAGTCCTTGACAAGAGTGGTTTCTGTGCAGCGAGGAGGAACGGAGCTCGAGGGCACAGGGCCACAGAGAGTGGCAGGCGGAGAAGCGCAGAGAGGGACAGAGATCGTTCTTCTCGCGAGTTCTGACAGAGGGCCGGGGTTCCCAATTGTTCTGGTCTCAGGAGCCCTTCACACTCAAAGAAACCAAGGGTCTTTAAGAGCTTTTGTTTATAGGGATCACGTCTTTCAACATTTAGCATACTAAACATTAAAACTGGTAACATTTTCAAGTATTGACTCATGAACAGATAACAGCGGTAAACCCATGGCGCTGTAACAAATATGTGTTCTAAAAAAAAGAACTACATTTCCCAAAACAGACGTAGCTAGAAGAGTGGAGCTGTGTCACATCTTAGCCCAATTTTGTTAACGTCCGGCTTAAACAAAGAAGACAGATGCATCTCCTGCTCGCTTCTGCCAAGTCAGTCAGTCAGTTGGTCTCCCTCTCCCCATCAGCCTCCGAAAAACTCCACTGTATGCTCAAGACAGAATGAGAAGGAAGGGGCACATAAGTCTTAGAATTATTCTGAAAACAGTGGGCTTTTTTATTTTTTTAAAGAATTTTTATTTATTTACATGACAGAGAGAAAGAGAGCACAAGCAGATGGAGTAGCAGGTAGAGGGAGAGGGAGAAGCAGGCTCCCTGCTGAGCAAGGATCCCAATGTGGGACTTGATCCCAGAGATCATGAGATCAGAGATCATGACCTGAGCCAAAGGGAGTCACGTAACCAACTGAGCCACCCAGGCCCACCACCCCACCCCGCTTTTTCTTTAAACGGGAGATTCTACACCATGCACGTGAATGGGCTGGGAAAGTGAGCTGTGATTGCAATAGTTCATGAAGAATATCCTGTAATACGGTTGGCAACTTCTTCTTACCTTTTCCAAATAGGGTGAATGAGTCAACATAATGCCATGGAGAAGTGTTGCTGTCCTCCTCTGCTCTTATCCGCAATTTAATTTCTTCATAAACATTGAGCTTGACTGAAGAAAAGTTGCATTTGGTACTGGCGACAGACTGACAGCCAGGCAATTTTACCCAAGTATCATTTTCAAGACTTTAAGACAGAACAGGAGATGCATGAATAAGCAAATGTATACATACAAAAGACTGTCAAACATGGTTTCTCTTTACTAAAAATAGAAACTATTACCAAGCTAGGCTAGGTAGTTATTCTATTTGAGTTAACGTCCTGTTAACATTTTAGTTGCAATGTGGCCCTCGTGTCCAGCACATATGCACCAAGTTATTATTTAGAAAGTGGAATCATTCTGATGGTTCATTTTTGGATACAGTTCTGTAATTTTGTGACAGGCTGCATTAGGATTTCAAAGAAGCAGAGAAAGAAATAACCTAGAAGGTACAAAGAGTGGACTTAGTGTCAGGTTTGTTAAAAAATAGTTGTGTGACTTTGGGCCAACTACTCTGTATTTCTGGATCTTTTCCTTACTGAAAACTTGGTGACTGGATCTGATGATTCCCTTCTAAACTTCTCGGACTAGATTCACCAGACCAGAGAAGACCTCAGAATCAGCAGGGTTGGAGAATTTCCTCTGCCCTCATCAAAACCAAACGGCCCCTGTCTACCTTTTGTTTTTTTTTTAAAGATTTTATTTATTTATCTGACAGAGAGAGACACAGCGAGAGAGGGAACACAAGCAGGGGGAGTGGGGGAGGGAGAAGCCGGCTTCCCGCCGAGCTGGGAGCCCGATGCGGGGCTCGATCCCAGGACCCTGGGATCACGACCTGAGCCGAAGGCAGACACTTAACGACTGAGCCACCCAGGCACCCCAAGCCCTGTCTACCTTAAACCAGGCAGAGAAACTCTCCTCTGAGAAGGCATTTCCATCAAGACTGATTCATAATTTCTAGCACGAGCTGCTTTTCCGAGGGGAAGGGGGAGAGGGAGGGAGGGAGGGTTAATACTGTAGACTTCTTTTTAAAAATGCTTTAAGATAACAGAGTCCAGGGATGATCTAGCCACATCATTTCTGTGCTGACCCAAATACAAGTCCATCTCATTTTTCAAAAAGGACTGTACCCCTGAAACAAATAATACATATGTGCTAATTAAAAACAAAACAAAAAAGAAAACATTTGAAAAAACTACCAAAAATATACACTGGCATATGGGAAGCTACATTCCTGGCTAGTTTCCCTTTCTACTTCTCTGAGCTGTGAGGCTAGAGATGGCATTTAATGATACCTGGAGAAACTCCTCCCCATCAGACTCTATGTTAAAAAATCCAGAAACTCTTATTGTAAACAGAAAACCTTATACAAATTGTAAAACTGAGCCTTGACATGGTTCCAACCCACTGTCCCTCTTCCCCTCTTTATCTTTCCTGTTCTAGGAGATGCAGAAGCACACTCGATTCCAGTGCTTTTGTGTTATAAGGGAGCTACTGCAGTGGTAGCTGTTTTTATATTATCTTAAAAAAAAACAACAACCAATCAAACCCAACTTTATTATGGAAAGTATTTAGATCAGAACAGAACATGATTTGAGAACGATGATGTAACTGATATAAAGTTCATTTCGTAAAACCCGTGCCATAATACAAGGAACATGCCATCTTGGTCTTTCCTATTCACTGATACATTCTAAGTACCCAGAAGAGTATTTAGCATAAAAGGCACCCAATCTTTATTGAATGGAAGAATGAATACTAAACACTACATACATCATAATAAATTTTGAATATAGGTCACAAATACTGATGTCTTAGCATGTGTTCTACAGACACTGGAATCCTAATGGCTTATTTATGTGTCTGTGTATCATTTATCACCGGTGGCATCTGTCCTACATTCGGAGAAACACTACATTAAGGGGCATCTGGGTGGCTCAGTGGGTTAAGCATCTGACTCTTGATTTTGGCTCAGGTCATGATCTCACGGTCCTGAGATAGAGTCCCGTGTCTGGCTCCGCGCGGGGGTATGGAGCCTGCTTGAGATATTCTCTCTCTAACCCCCACTCCCTCTGCCCCTCTCCCCACTCACAGTTTCTCTTGGTCTCAGTAAATTTTTTTTTTTAATTAAAAAAATACTTGTTTGCTTTTGCTATTAACTACATTCCATTAATCACTTCCTTCGTCCACTGAGCACTTTACATAAAATTGGTCTACACTTCGGGGCACCTGGGTGGCTCCGTCGGTTAAGTGCCTTTGGCTCGGGTCATGATCTCAGGGTCCTGGGATCCAGCCCCATGTAGGGCTCCCTGCTCAGTGGGGAGGCTGCTTCTCCCTCTCCTCTGTGCTCTCTCTCTCTTTCAAATAAATAAAATCTTAAACAAACATTGTTCTATACTTCTACAACCTTCTAAGTTAGACATCTTATTACGGTAGGAGGGGGGCAGGGGAGTCCCATCCCAGTTTGCCTGGTGTGGTCCTGGTTTAAGCTTGTCTCAGCTTATCTAAAATTAACTGCCCCTTTTGACTCTTGAAAGTGTCTTGGTTTGGATGGTAAGTTATATATGGTCATATCAGTTTTTACCACAACTTCACGGACAAGAAAACAGTGATAAAATACATAGCATGGGATGGCTTTGCACCCAAGCAGCCTGGCTCAAGTCCATACCACACTATACTGTCACTGTACTCTCTCCCTAAACTTGTAGTCTGGCATATCTTTATAAGGCAATTATTTTTAAAGCTAGTAGAACAGAGCAGGATGAGAACATATTGAAATAATGCATTTGACGCTAAAGTCAGAATGAAAGAATGAAAGGCAGACTATTATGGACTGGAGAATTTAGTATCAGTGAGAGAATGTGTGAAGGAACGATACGAAGGCACTGTCTATCTTCTTTGCTAAAAGGTAACTTTATTTTTTAAAAAGGATTTTATTTATTTGAGAGAGAGAGAGAGAGAGAGAGAGAGTCAGTGAGAGAGAGAGAAAACAAGAGCTGGGGTAGGAGGGCACAGAGGGAGAGGGAAAAGCAGACTCCCCACTGAGCAGGGAGCCCCACGTGGGGCTCGATCCCGGGACTCCAGGATCATGACCTGAGCCAAAGGCAGACACCCAACCGACTAAGCCACCCAGGTGCTCCTAAAAGGGTAACTTTAAACAAAAGTATCTGAAACAATCTTTGTTATACCTAAAATAGTTGTTTAATAAGAAAATTCTGAACTAAAGCAAAGAATGAAATGGACAAAACTCAAAGTTCAATTTAAAGAAAATCTCGAGAGATAAAAATTCTCAAACCATCGATGTATGTATACAAGTCTGCGTATATGCGCACATATATGCACATAAACGCACACACGCGAATGACTAAAGCTGCGAGGGTGAATTCATCTCACAGTCCTATTAACAGTCAGCTGGAGAACTGAGTGCTGGGGTTGTGGCTGAAGTGGGGAGATTCCGGTCCTGGGGGTCCTACACCCCGTTTCTTCACTGGCCAATTACCAGCCACTCTTTCTTGGACAGAGATCATAGCACGCAGGGCCCTGGCACCCAAAGCAAAGTGCTCTTACTCCCTGAGCTGTGTTCCTTCCAGAATCCTTTCTTCTGCAACTCCCCGCCTGCCCATCCTCTTGGCAGCTATGACGTAGAACGTTAGCGCTAGGGAGAAGGCAGAAACTCCAGAACCAGAGTCCATGGAAATGCAGGATCCACTATACTAATTCATTTTACCTACATTAAAAAATTGTATATGATGGGGATAATTAAAAAGCCTGATCCTAGGAGAACTGGGGGCCTATTTCAAGACCATGCATAGACCTTTGGGGTACTCTTCCATATCCTCAAGACATGTTCTAGGTCAGACACTGATTTATGCTCAAAGAAGGTGACGCATCTAGAAGAGAGAAGGTACGGCTGTGGTCTAAAGAAGCTGTCTGCTATCTTCATCCCCCAAATCTCTTTTGCTGCAACACCCCAAGACGAATTGGACGAAGTCTCTATTTGTAGAAATGAAGTTATAAATATTACGTAGACATAAAATTTCTCTCAAAGATGGAAAAACCAATTGGCTCTCAAATCTGAAATATAAATGATGGGGTTACAATTTTCAAAATTATTCACACGATTCTTGTAAATCAATCAATAGAGTTGCGTACGTTTGATAATCTGCTGAAAAAGTCACATTCTTGACAGACGGATCGCTTCTGTTCCACTGCAGGATAAAGGTATCATCAATGATGTAGACCTCTACATTTTGAGGAGATTTTAGATTTGTTTCTCCTAGAAATCAAAGCAACAAGAAAGAAGACAGTTACATATACACTGTAGATAGTCTTAAAAATGTTATTGTTCCTTTCATGTCACTGATTAAAGAATGAATACATTCAAATATAACAAAGTATATACAAAATCTAAAAAAACCTAATCGTTGCTGTCAGCACAGGGAGGCTGCTAATTATTTATTTAATCTCTGCATTTGAGAGAGCTAGAAAAAGGTCGAGGTTTTTTAATCCATAAAAAGTAAGCCTTATATATTTCAGTAAAGCTGGAAAAAATAAGGAAAAATCAGCATTGATCTTTTAATTGAAAGTCTCTTTACCCAAAAAATACAAAAATACTAATTCAAAGGGATACATGCACCACCTATGTTTATAGCAGCATTATTTACAATAGCCAAGGTATGGAAGCAGCCGAAGTGTCCACTGACTGATGAATGGATAAAGAAGATGTGATACACACACACACACACACAATGGAATATTATTCAACCATAAAAAAGAATGAAATCTTGCCATTTGCAACAACATGGATGGATCTAGAGAGTATTATGCTAAGTGAAATAAGTCAGTCAGAGAAAGACAAATGCCATATGATCTTACTTATATGTGGAATTTAAGAAACAAAACAAATGAGCAAAGAAAAAAAAAAAGAGAAAGGCAAACCAAGAAACAGACTCTTAACTGTCGGTCAAACCAGAGGGGAGGGGGTTGGGGGAGATGGGGGACATGGGTGAAGGGGATTAAAGACTACACTCATCATGATGAGGAGAAAAAAAAAAAGACCGTCCACCAGCAAAAAGATTACAACTTGCCGAAAGCTCACATGACGGCTGGTTAAAAAAGAAAAAAAAGAAAAAATAGTCTCTGTATAAAAATCTTCTGTGATGTTAGAAGACATGTAAAGGACACAAGATTCAACTGTTTAATGGCCTCAGTTTGGTTTCACATCCTATATTTACGCTTCATCTACTCTGACAGAGAATGGAACAGCTGTGATTTCAAAGTTAACAGCTTAGTCACAGAAACCAAATATTCACATGACAAAAATCAAGAGACAGAGGTATGAATGTTTATCATGTCAGCCAAGCCCTACAGGAACTCGGAAAGGTGTTCATATCAAGCCTGAACCCATCTGTTTATTTTTAAGGACTTCTGTCTAGAGATCTATTATTTCTTACACTTCTAGGAGGAATCTTGCCTGAGTTGGATGTCCTCTCTTCGTATTTTTCCCTTTTGGTCCCTCCAACCTGCATTTTTCTTCCTCTCTGATTACCCAAATACTCCAAGACTCAGCTCAAGTTTGACCCCTTACAGAAAACCTTCCTTTAATACTGCAGCCCATGATGGGTGCCTGGGTGGCTCAGTTGGTTAAGCGACTGCCTTCGGCTCAGGTCATGATCCTGGAGTCCCAGGATCAAGTCCCACATCGGGCTCCCTGCTCAGCAGGGAGTCTGCTTCTCCTCTGACCCTCCCCCCTCTCATGTTCTATCTCATTCTCTCTCTCAAATAAATAAATAAAAAAAAAAATACTGCAGCCCATGCTAACCCTGCTCTTATATTATGTGCTGGAGCATCAATCCCTACTGCTCAGTTTCACACTAAAGCAGATGTACTCAGCACAGTAGCTGACATCTGGTAGGACCTCAAAACTTGCTGAATGAAGATGTTTCAAAAGAAAACCAATTGCTTCTTTGCATTAAACACAAATCCCCAATCAGATGACAAGTTCCTTAAAGGCAGGGTCTATACAGTTGCATACTCAATTTGCATTTTTCAGAGGACTCAGTACAGTGCTGGGTTCACAGGAGTTTCTTCAACAGCACAAAGGGCTGATCTTTCTCTACGATAAGCTATAATTTTTTAAAAGGCTGGCTTTTAAATTTATCTACTGTTCCTGTAATATTTCTAGCCTTTACTTCTGCCTCAGGGCAAGCGTGTTACCTCCTGGCAGACTTTCCACCATAGGAGTCCTTATGTAGAACTTTCTTTATTGGGACTGCCTCCTCTATTTTCCAGCTAGAGATATTATGGTATGGAGTCCAAAGGGGAAAAGCTGAGAAAACATATTCTAAAAAAAAAATTTTTTTTTTTAATTTGGGAGCTCCTCTTTGAGTCTCCTCTCCCTCAATTTTCTTTTTTACACTTATTTTCTCTGACACTTCATCACAAAGGAGAATACTTTCCTCATTCCACTCCTCTAAACGTAATTCTCATCCCATTTGTTGTGATTTTATAGATTGTATGCAGCCAAAGGGGAGTGACTGAGTTTACAGGAAATCAACAAAAGATCTGATAGCATTTGTAGTCTCTGGTCTAGACTAGTCTAATTCCACTAACTCTGGATCTTGAGACAGGGAGAAGAAATTTGATGGGGGTAGAGCCAGAGATTTCCTCTGGGATGCAGTCCTTCTGCTAAAGGAAAGAGATCCTGCAGTTAGGGGCATCTTGGCATTTGGGAGACCAAGAAATAACTGATTGATAAATGGTCAGGGACGTGGAAATAGTTATTACACAGCATTTTCAATTTCACAGATTTCGCTCTACTCGTATTAGCAATATCCTTTTGAAAACAGTCTATTTCACTTTTGTAGCGTGTAAGATCTATAAATGGGCACTTAATCCCATACTTCTACTTACACAGTAAGCAACAATTGGTTGCTTCCAACCTTTCACATTCCTAATGGATGATCAGAAACAATTTACTACCTTTTTAAGTCTGGCATAAACCCAAACACGTATGTCCATATAAACATAAATTTCCTCTCACATTTTGGGTAATTTTCTTAGGCTAGGGTCCCAGGACTACATTTACTAGGTTTAAAAAGTATGAATATTTTTATGACTTGGAAAGAGAGCAACATTAGGATCTCTAGTTTGGGTTAACATTTAATTTAGTTTTGAACATTTTACCGTTCCTTTGAGGAAAAAAGTACATTAGTTAATTGAAAGGTAACTAGGCACTTAACAAATATCAGTGGATAATTGAGAACTTAAATTGTTTAACCCTTAGGAAAACAGACTACTCTTAAGCCCAGGGGTCTGCCGCTGATTCCCAGGGTTTAATTTCCCATTCAGCCACTGGCTAGCTGCAGGGCCTGAGGCAAGCTACTCAGTGTCTCAGTTTGCTCTTCTGTAAAAAGAGGGTAATAGTGTGTAGCTTTGTACTGAAACCTAAACGAGTTTATACCTTTAAAACACCTAGAGAATTGCCTGGCACATAGTTAAGAGTACAATAAATGCTAGCTGTGTATAAAGTTTATTTTAGCAGCTCTCCCCTAATTTAGATTAAAATAAAGATCTTAATGTACATCCTCTTGGATGCTACTTTTATACGAAAATTCTGGGGAAGTTCTTTTTACATCACAGCACAATGAGCTGAATACAAAAATTTCAAAAACAAAAGACTTCAAAGAAATGACCACGGGGCATACCAGGACCATAGTACCCATATTCTATGTATACTATATTCATGGAAGAGTTTGAGAAATAGGATACCATTTACCATATGGGGGTACGGTTTCCTAAGCAAACAGTTTAAGGATTTTGAACCTACTAGGCTTGGATTCCCTGACCCTTTGGATTCCTGCCCTTCGGTGCTAGTCCCTCTCTTTCTCTTTGGGTACCCTTCCTCACTACGAAGTCAACCTTATAATAGTTGCCATTCTTCCGATGCGTCCCAGTTAAGTATTAATAAAGGCAGCAAACTAGCCTGGTGGTCCCGGCCTCTCTATTTTGGTTGCGTATTTTTCATTTATTATTACTTTTTATTAGACTGTCCGAATCCCGAAGGCAGCGAAATTCTTGCAACCCTTATCCCCCCTCCCACGTGGGGCTGAATAACTGTTTCCCTAAACTGAGACAATGTTTCAGGAACAGCAACACAATTCGCCGCTAAAGCCTTGTTTATTACTTAAGGGTCCAGCCCGGCTCCCCGCTTTTTCGAAGAGAGAGTCGACAGGAAGGCTCTCGCTCACCCAGCGCCGCGGCGGTGGAAGCCCACAGAGCCGGCGGGGAGGGCGTCTCCCGCTCGGGAACGGGTACGCGGGCGGCCAAGCAAGCGGCGTGCAAGGAACCTTGGAACACCACTTCCTCCCGATTTTCGATCTGAGCGCTGTGACCCCGGACGAGCAGAGGTCTCCGGGACAACGCGCCAGCCCCTTCCACCCGCCTCCCAGGGCCAAGGCTTCCAACGCCCCCACAGCCCAGCCTCTCGCCCTGTCCCGGGCCTGCGCCGGGCCCCCTCGTCTCTCACCTGCGGCTGCGGGCAACATCCACCGCACCGCAGCGACCAGCACCAGGGTCGTCGCGCCCAGGAGGGCGAGCATCGTCCGCGGGCCACCGCCGGCCAAGGCAGTCACATCCTCGGTCACCTCGCGCAGCACCAAACTACGCGAGGCAACCCCAGGCGCAAGAGCCCCCTGCCTCCGCCCCCTGCCTCCGCCCCCTGCCTCCGCCCCCTGCCTCCGCCCCCTGCCTCTTCCCCGTCCTTCCGCGCTCGCCCCGCCCTTCCGCACTCGCCCCGCCCCTCCGCGCACGCGCGTCCCCTCCGCGCTCGCCCAGTCTCTCCGCGCACGCGCCGCCCTAGTTGTCTAGCGCGCTGGTGCGCTCCGGTGGGGAGAGCTGTGGGCCGCGTGTGCGCGCCTGGAATTGGGGCGTTACCGTCAGTGACCGCCGAGGGCGGTCTACTCTCTGATTCGGGAAAGACAACGCCCAACAGGAGGCCTTGACCCGAACGGGAACGCGGCGTGTCCCGGCTCAGGCCTTGAGGCGGTGGAGTTGCGCAACTCATGCTCTGATTGCGGCGGAGGTCGGGCTCTGTCGGCCACTGACACCGAGGCGGTGGAAAGCGGTGTTGGGGCGGCTTGGGTAAGGGAGGCAGGAATGAGGAAGCTGCCGAGGGTGCCAGGCCGTTTCCTGTGAGCAGAGCGCTGTGAGCGAAGGGCAAGAATGGCCAGAGTTAAGCCAAGAAGCGTCGAGCACTCGTTTTCGGGGCGACCTGGCCGAGGGGCTCACGGGACCCCTGGAGAAAGTCGTGGCAGCGTCGGGGCTTGGGATGGTTTCCAGAACAGCTGTCTCTAAGCAGTTTTGATTGCTTACCCCTATCAGTAAACAATTTGGGTCCACCATTCAAATCGTTATTTAAATGCTTTAATAATAGATTATGTATTATTCTTAAAATACGCAAAACGAAAAATATAAAGGATGAGAGATGAAAGAATCATGCTTAGCTGTTAATTACAACTAAACAATATTAATTATCGGTTATGTGATAAAATGAGTATTTATAGAGAACAATGAACTTGGATTTTGCCTTACAAACAACTATGGGGGCACCTGGGTGGCTCAGTCGTTAAGCGTCTGCCTTTGGCTCGTCATGATCCCAGAGTCCTGGGATCTAGCCCCGCATCCCCGCGTCGGGCTCACTGCTCAGCAGGAAGCCTGCTTCCCCCTCTCCCAGGCCCCCTGCTTGTGTTCCCTCTCTCGCTGTGTCTCTCTCTGTCAAATAAAATCTTTAAAAAAAATAAACAACTTTGAGGTATAATTTATATACCATGAAATTCACCCATTTTAAGGGAAAAGGATTCTTAGTAAATCTAACCAGTTGTTAGGCCTCCTTTTTATTTTTATTTTTAGAAAGTGAGAGCACGTGTTAAGGGGGGGTGGGGGAAGGGGCAGACATCCGGGAAGAGAGAATGAGGCAGGCTACACCCTCAGGGCGGAGCCCAATGGAGGGACTCCATCTCAGGACCCTGAGATTTTGACCTGAGCCAAAATCAAGAGTCAGGCCCTTAACGGACTTAACCACCAAGGCGCCCCAGGCCTCATTTTTTGTTTTTAAGCCTTGGCTTATTACTTTGTGATTCAACAAATTGTAGGTTTGATTTGAGTTTGTCAGTGCTTTTTACAGTGCAATTTTAACAATGTCATAGATGGAAAAATACTTAAAATAGTGTAGTTTTAACAATGTCGTAGGTGGAAAAATAGCCCACGAGAATATGTGGGTCCAAATGGAAAAAGAAAATTCCTTGTCGCACTTACTAAATCATACTTATTTTAAAAGGCTCCAACAATTTTGACTTAAGGTTTTAATTAAAATTTCCATTTCCTGCTGTCCAAAAGTTGTTCTTGCAAACTAGTTAAAATAGATTGCAGTTTTGCATTTAGAACAATGGGCCCAAAATATTTCACGGACTGAAACTTTCCGTTTGAAATATTTTAAAATGTTCGCAGTCTCGCCCTCCCCAACCTGTCCCCCCCCCCACCCCCCCCCCCCCCCCCCCCCCCCCGGCCCCGACTCTGCCCCGT